ATTCCATTCCATTCCATTCCATTCCGTTCCAACCTTATGATTCTTGACGAATGTATCTTTTCTTTTATGCACGCTGAGAGCATTTGCACCAAGACAAATTCCTTGTGTGTCCAACAACACTTGGCCAATAAAGAATTCTAGAATTCTATGTTGCTTATGAGCCTGGCTTCCAGGCTTCTTCATGGAAATAAAATAGAGTTGGGGACTTATCGGGGTGGGTTGCTGGGGGCTCGCAGGGGCTTGGGAGATCCCCTAGCTATGACTCTGCGGGGCTCAGAGATTCCCTCAATTACCTCAGAAGACAAGCAGCAAGGGAAAGCTCTTAATAGGCTTAATTGAATTTCTGGGCATTCAGCCAAGAGCATTTCACACCTCGTCAAAGTGTTGCAAGCTAGATAAACAATCCACTCAGCACTTGAAGGGAGAGCCATTGAGAAAATCAGATAACATAGCCATTAGCCTCTGAGGGGATTAATTCCCAAATAATAAGACTCACATAACTCACCAGAAACTCCACTTAAAGACTCCCTCTCACAGTCACTGCTATTAAGCCTAGTTTCAGCCAGACTATTATTTTAAGTGTTAAATGCACGAAAAAATAAGCAACTTTTTGGTATATTATCAGACCGGAAAAGGCTGAGCAACATGGATCTAGGGAACAATTCCACCCCGCACCCTTGAGTCTAGATGGGCCGAGGGGTCCTAGATTTCCTTGAGACCAGCGGAAAATCTGCATTGCCTGGACTGGCTAATTCCCCAGTAAAGATGACCCATTAACAAAATATTCCCTCCTCAGACTACCTTGAGGTACAATGTGCTCCCACACCCGGAGGAAGCTCCATTCGCGCTGACTGTCAGCACGATTCCCGAGACGTGTGTTGGGGTCAAGGCCCACAAGGAATTCGACATTGCAGTAAATGTCAGGTAATTCTCTCTTCCATTGGTCACAGCCGAAGGGGAACTGGCTGTCAATCCAGGGATGCCATGATCCCTATAACTTGCTTGCTAATCTAATCTAAAACAAATGTGATTTGTTCGGGGTCCCCATACATCATGGGGAACCTAATACAGGTAGTCCTCGACTTACCATAGCTCATTTAGTGACCGTTGAACGTTGCAATGGCAATGACAAAAAAATGACTTATGATCATGGTCCACAGTTACAACCTTTGTAGCATCTGATCACAGGATCCAAATTCAGGTGCTTGGCCACTGGTTCACACTTATGACCGTTGCTGTGTCCCGGGGTCATGCGATCACCTTTTTGTGACTGTATGACGAGCGAAATCAATGGAGAGTCCAGATTCACTCAACAACTGCATTACGAACCTATCGGTTGCAGTGATTCCCTTAATAACTGTAGCAGAGAAATGGGGCCAAACTCACTTAACAAATGTCTCCCTTCACAACAGAAAATTTTGCACTCAGTTGTGGTTGTAGGTGGAGGACTACCTGTAATGCCTTAGCATAGTGGTGGCTAACCTTTTTGGGCTCCTGTGCCAAAAATCGTGTGCGTGCTTGCACTCACACGCTTGCCTGCCAGCACCCAGAAGGCAATGTACACCCCCAACGTCCCCTGCGCATGCACACGCAACCTCCCCTCCCCCCGGCCATCGCTCCCTTAGCTGCACTGCGCCTCACAGCTGATTTTCAGCCTCCCAGAGGCTTGAAAAAAACCTCTGCAGGCTTTGCAGGCCGAATAATAGGCCCGTTTCATCACTTCCAGTATTACAGGAAGTGACGAAACGGACCTATTATTCGTCCCGCAAAGGCTTTTTTTCAAGCCTCTGGGAGGCTGAAAAAGGCCTCGGACCAGCGGAAAATCAGCTGTGAGGCGCGCACATGGGCAGTGAGGTAAGTTTGTCTGCAGCTCGCATGCCAGCAGAAATGGCTCTGCGTGCCACCTAGGTTCGCCATCGCAGCCTTAGCAAGTTGTCTGAACTATTAAGCTGTGATACGGCTTATTTATTTGGATATAGCGGTGGCCCCCAACCTTTTGGGCACCAGTTCTGTGGAGAAAGGTTTTTCCGCGGACTGGAATGGGGTGGTGGTTTTGTGTGCTGTTACATCCCACAGACGGGGCTTCACTTCTTTGTGTGGTCCGGTTGCTGTCATGCTGCAGCCTGGTGTCAGTCCTCAAACCGGGAGTTGGGGACCACTAGGTCAATGACGGCGAACCTTTGGCATGCGTTCCAGAGGTGGCATGCAGAGGTTTCTCTGTGGGCATGCGAGCCGTTGCGCCAGCTCAGTCTGCCGTGCATGTATGCACCTCCCATCGGTGCACTGGTTTTTGGGTCTGCCGTGCATGCCCGGGGGACAGGGCGCATGCGTGGGGGATGTTTGCATATGCACAGGGTGTGGGGTGCATGTGCAGGGACCCCTGTAGATGTGGGGGGGGTAGGTGCATGTGCGGGGGACACACGTGGATTGCATTTTTGGGATGCATGCATGCTTTGGGGACTCGGTGCCGAAAAGGTTAGCCATCACGGCCCTAGGGCCATGATGGCGAAGCTGTGGCACACATTCCACAGGTGGCACGCAGAGCCATTTGTGCTGGCACACAAGCTGCAGGCAAATTTACCTCAGTGCGCATGCCTGCTCCTCACAACTCTTTTTTTTTGTGGGGGGGTGGTGGTTTGAGGCCTTTTCCGGCCTTTCTTTGGAAAAAGCCTCTGCGAGGCTTCTCAGGACGAATTATAGGCCCGTTTCATCACTTTCAGTAATACCGGATGTGACGAAATGGGCCTATAATCCATCCTGAAAAGCCTTGCAGAGGCTTTTTCCAAGCCTCCAGGAGGCCGAAAAAGGCCTCAAACCAGCTGAAGAATCAGCTGTGAGGCGCAGTGCAGGTAAGGGGGTGGGGATTGCACATGCATGCGTAGGGGGCGCAATGCATTCTGGGTGCTGGCTCGTGAATGCAGGCGCACCGGCGTGCATGCCATTTTTGGCACAGGAGCCCAAAAAGGTTAGCCATCACTGCCCTAGGTTATAGTATGTGATACACACAAAACAAATGTTTTTTCTTAATGGTGTGGTTGTGTGAATCCAGCCACCTTATGCGCGAAATGCTTAACTGGGTGAAAGAAGGCTTTAGTCAACTCATTCACTCATCTAGACATTTACTGTAATTCGCAGGGGAGTTAATTCTAGTTTAAAAACACCTTCAGCAGTGCTTGGAGTTAAACACACAGAATGAACTACCTCACAAAAACAGCTGAAAGGTTAACCGTCCATCCTTCTTTCTGAGGTAAAGTTGAAGTCCCAGGTGGCAGTCCTAGGTGGCTCCATGAATCCAGGGCTTCTCTAGGCACCTTACTTTTATGCCTTATCTCCCGTATCTTCCTACGAAGAGTGAAGTAGGAACAGCAGTAAGAAAGTCTATCCACGTTGTCTACCGTTGCCGCAATCATAATTGCGCCACTGCAGATATTTTGGGTGTTTCAAAAAACAAGAAGTTCCCCATGAAGATGGTGAGGACTCAGAAAGCAATGTGTGATTCTGTGTTGCCGGCACCCAGGGCTAAGTCAAGTGTCTGGGAGGAACCGATAGTGATAGTGATGCCATTTGAACATTGTCACAGCAACCTCATCTGGATAGACCTGCTCTCCAAGCCCTAATCAACCTTTCAATGCAGAGAGGACAACCTTTGGATGGGCAAATATAGGCTAAGTGGTGGAATCACATCAGATCACTGACATTCAGACATCCACAGACACACAGAGATAAATCTTGTTTACATACCATTTAAAAGATACAATTCAAAGTCTAGGAGACATCAAAGAGGAAGACACATTCCCACCAAGACTGACAAGACTGACTACCACACAGAGACAACCAGCATCCTTCCCTCCCCTCTGCACTGTTGATGTTGCCTAGTATGGTCATGAAATGTCAGCAGAAAAAACATCAAATTCAAAGAGTGCAACAAACATAACTGAACAAATTTCACGTTCCAACCAGAGACTAGAACTGGATTGTCTTGGTAGAAACCCAAATGGGTGAATGTAGGATCAGGAATTAAAAACTTCACGCCCATCTTAACTGGGGCTGACATTGTTTCTTTTCCTTCTCGTTTGTCCAGTTACGTCGGGAAGCGTTTGGCCTCTAACATGGCGATTGTTAAAGTCAAGATAGTCTCTGGATTTGCACCAAATAAGCCCTCTGTAAGAAAGGTAACGGACAATTTTTATATTAACCTCTTCTTCAAAAAAAAAAAAGCATTGATCTCCCCTGACTAAAGCACACCAAATAATTAGCTGTGGTGTAGAGTTGTAATTGCAGGAATGTTCTTGGATGGCAAACCTCAGATAAAGAATGTTTACAAGCAATCACAACTCAGGCAAACAAAGTCACTAATCTAAAGGAGGATTAGAGAGAGGAAGTAAACATGTGTTAGACTTTAACTAGAGATAATTAATCGTGTTTTTTACTATGCTAAACAGTAACGAAAGTTAAGCAGTGACCAAAGTTAACCAATGATTGAGGATAGCTAATAATGTGAATAAATGCAAGACTAGACTCCAATAAAGCTCATCATGATTCAGTTGATCATGATCAAGCAACTCGACTGCCTCGTCATTACAACACTGTGGATAGAAGTTGGCCACAGAAACCACCCTCCAAGATTCATAGCTGAGATGTTGAAATAGAATCTCTTGTGTGTGTGTGGGGGGAGAGGAAGGAACGGGGAATGGAAATGTGCCCTGCGTTGTTTGATGATGGCCCATGCTCTCCATGGCAGTGTCATCCCTCCCAACTTGGTCAGTTAAAAAATAAAGATCTCTTGGATCCACAATTAGCCAAAAGTAAGAGTAAAGGTACAGGTTCCCCTCGCACATCCGTGCTAATCGTTTCCGGCTCTAGGGGGCGCCGGTGCTCATCTCCGTTACAAAGCCGAAGAGCCAGCGCTGTCCCAAGACGTCTCCGTGGTCATGTGGCTGGCATGATTAAATGCCAAAGGCTCATGGAACGCTGTTACTTTCCCAACGAAAGGTGGCCCCTGTTTTTCTACTTGCATTTTTTTAGGTGCTTTCGAACTGCTAGGTCGGCAGAAGCTGGGACGAGTAATGGGAGTCAAAAAGAGGGCTGTGAAAATATTTACAGATCTCTCAAGTCCTGGATATAAATTGTTTCAACTTCTACCCTCAAAATGACGCTATAGGGCACTGCACGCCTGAACAACTAGACACAAGGACAGCTTCCCCCCTCCTCATGCCATCACTCTCTAAACAACCAATTCCCACAAAACTGTCAAAACTACTTAGTAAGGCTATATTAGTATTACTCTTCTCATTCCTTCCTATTACTGATCTCTTCCCACTTATGACTATAACCGTGTTGCTTGTATCTTTACAATTTCTATTGTTTTATTTGTTCCCTAGTATGATTTGATTGCTTATTAGTAACCTATGACTATCACTAAGTGTTGTATCTTATGATTCTTGATGTATGTATTTTTATTTTTATTATGTACACTGAGTGCTTATGCGCCGAAGACAAATTCCTTGTGTGACACTTGGCCAATAAATTATTCTCTTCTCTTCTCTTCTCTTCTCCATTACTCTACTCTACTCTACTCTTCTCTATTCTTATTTTCTCTTCTCTTCTACTTTTCTCTTCTCTTCTACTCTTCTCTTCTCTTTTCTCTTCTCTTCTACCTTCCTCTACTCTACTCTACTCTACTCTTCTTTATTCTATTCTTATTTTCTCTTCTCTTCTACTCTTCTCTTCTCTTTTTTCTCTTCTCTTTCTCTTCACTTCTCCTCTTCTCTTCTCCGTTCCTCTACTCTACTCTACTCTTCTCTATTCTATTCTTATTTTCTCTTCTCTTCTCTTCT